TGAAGATTGCACAAGCTCCCTGGATGTTGATGCCCCTGATGCTTCGGGGCACCTTCACCGGGATGGGTCTGCTTGCGGACCCGCGAACCCGCACTTCCAGGGGTTACCTCGGTCCTCACAAATCGTGTCGAGTTATCAGTATAGGAGTATTGTCTGGTTTTACTGGCCCTGTTCAGGTCGTTAGGTAGGGCCCTACTCATATCATCGAGCCCAGTGCTGAATATAAGGAGCAGGGAGGAGTCCCAGATACCTTCATCTCGCTCCCCAGGTGAAATTGAAGTGATTGAAGGATGCGGCAGTTTAAGGCATATTCCTAACATAAAAAAAAGATTTTTTAAAAGGTGCGATGTTTTTGACGCCGTGTGTATAATTAGTACCCTAGATTATTAAGTGAACAGCTAGTTGCCAGACTTCAGCTTGTTATATGAATACTAACTTGTGCATAATTGAATCTGAAGGACTTGATCAAAGTATTATTTTCTGCTGAAGCTAGAATCTGTTAATATGGTGAGAATCGACTCCGGCAAAATATCGTTATCATAGGCCATAAGGAGTGATCCACTTGTGTTTTGGGTATAATGCACACCGGTACACAACGGGAATTCTAAATTTTCATGCCCAACTCGCATTAACTGCTTTTGCAGAAATATCCATTGTTTTTTACGTTTTGTTTGGTCAGTTCGAATATCCGACCTCTATCCGATCCTCAATAGATATTTCACAATATCTGGGATGTCCTAAAGATACAGGTATAATCAGTGCAACCTGCTTTTTATCAAGTCTAGGAACTAAATTAAGTCATCGCAGACGAGTTGGAACTTTGGAATGTACACCACAAGGCGTTATTATTATTAAACATAATTATCGTGGAAAGCATGGCGATGGCCAAGTGTTTTTGGGGGGTTATATACTTGTTATTAGGATTTTGTATATTAATGTTTTAAATCAATCGTCATGTCTTTATTGTCTGTTTATTGCTCACACTTCATATTGTTAAGACGTTTATGTAGATTTTAATGAATGCAACGCAAATTTATAAAAAAAAAGTTTTGAATACTCAATCTACCCTAATCCTACTAATATTATAAATGTGAAAGTTTGTATGTTTTTAACTTAATCACGCAAAAATGGCTGAACGAATTTGCTACAATAATAGTTTCATGACTTTCGTTGATGAAGATAACCTGATTAATAACTTTGATTGAATTCAACATATACACATCAAAAAAAGTTTGAGATCACTTGCAAAAGCTGATATATTTTCAAAATTATTCTTAATCAAAAGAAAATGTTTACATTATATTTTTTTTTATTTAAAAATACACTTTCTAAAATTAAAAAATAAAACCAATTTTATTTTTAGTATAAAAAATGTAATTATTCAATCCTAAGACTGCAATCGTCTTCTCTTTCTCTATCTTTTTATTTCTATCAATAGAACTTTGATAGAAATAAAAAGATAGTTTAACCAAATTTAAAAACCTTTTATTAATAAATTGTTGTTTATTTAATACAAAATAACTCTTCCCCTGGCTCGAACATATGCGGAGATCCTCTTGGGCATGCTGAGGATCAAGTTATCCAGCATTTCTTGTAGCAACCTGTCCCATTCTTGAACAGCAGCTTCCCGGCACTGTCTGGGGTGGTGGCTCCCGGTTCCAAACAACTCGCTTAACAGCATCCCACGTGTGCTCTAGTGGGTTTAAGTCAAGAGAGCCGGCAGGCCTGTCAACCCTTGTAATTTCCTATTCTCGGAGAGCAGCATTGACTCGTCGAGCTCGATGCGCGAACGCATTATCGTCAACCAGTACAAATCGGTGCTCATGGTTTACTTGGAAAGGTCTAACGATTCCATCAATAGCGACTGTTTTGTATATGTCTGCCGTCATGAAGCCTTAAATGCGTTCTAGCCCCAATCATAATACCACCCTAAAAGGACACTGATTACCGCCTTGCTGAACTTTTCCAGTGGCCTTACTTTGCCTTTCAGAGTCTCCAGGTCTTCTCCAAACACGGACACGACTGTTATCTGGATGAGTACTGATTCGCGATTCGTCAACGAAGAGGCAGTTTTACCAAATGTTCTCCTCTTCATCTTCTTCGTTTTGCCGGAGCCTAGCCCACTGCAATCTCCGTCGCTGACGTTCCCGTGAATTTAAAGGTGCTCGCCAAGACCTCCGTGCTCGTAATCCAGCCTTGTGTAAGCAATTTCAAATGGTCTGAGTGCTAACCTCAAGTCCGGAGGCGGCCCGTATTTCTGCTTTTAATTTAGTGGCGTTTATTTTTGGGTCGCGTCGTCTGGTAGCCTCCAGCAACCTGATGTAGCGCTTCTGAGCAGCTGTCAAAACAGTTGGGCGACCGCTGCGAGGTCGATCTGCTAAATTACCCATGCTGTGGTACCTCAGACGTGATTACTACACAGGATTGGGATATGGCAACTCTGCGTGCTATTTCTCTCGTAAAATAGCCTTCTTCCCTCAAAGTTAAAATTCTGGCTCGTAAAACATCTGATAATCCTCGTGCCATTTTTTAAATCACAACTTTCTAAAAATATTTTAAATTCGTTAATATTGACTAAGTCAGATTTCCGAATGAGTGTCAGCTTGGATTGCATGTCTTTTTAAGTGGAAAAACAATTGAATTATTTTATTGTTTTACGTTCTAATTTTAAAATTTAGAAACTTATCAGAATAAGAAATTACAATAAGTCTTCTGTAACACAAAAAACAATCTATTTTTCAAAGTGATCGAAAACTTTTTTTGATGTGTGTAGGATACTTCTCATTCCGTTAGGTTAAAATGTTAGGTTCCTGTGGGATTCCCAAAAAACTAACTATAACGCGGACGAAGTCGCGAGCGGGAGTTAGTCCCACTAATATTATAAAAATTTGTATGTTTATATATTATTATGTTTGCTACTCAACCACGCCAAAATTGCTGAACAGATTTGGATAAAATTGTGCACACATATAATTTATTGCATAGATTGAGACAAAGGATATCTACTTTTTATCCCGGAAAAATGTAAGGTTAATGTCAGATTCACAAAAACTAAAGTTAGAATCTCATCCTACTAATATTATAAATGTTAAAGTTTGTATGTTTGTTTCTCAATCACGCAAAAACTTATCAATGAATTTGGATGAAATTTGGTACATAATAAAAATATAGTTTAGTAACTGGATTGAGGCACAGGATAGTTTTTGCCCGAAAAAATGTTGGGTGTGCGATAGCCCAAAATCTAAAGTTTACGCAGACGAAGTGTCGGGCGACCGCTAGTTTATTTTAATTTAACGCGGACGAAGACTCGGGCGCAAGTTAGTACTCAATAACGTATTTGCGTGATTGAGTAACAAACATACAAACTATCACATTTATATTATTAGTAGGATGAATTTAATTATTTTTAACAGTTATGTTTTTATTTTTTCAAGCATTTAACTGCTAGATGTTTAAATCTTAAGAAAAGTTTTACTAGAAAAAAATCCATGCGGACCAGGCAGCGGATGGTACTTGCATAGTATTTTTAACATTACTATGCAAGTACCTGTTAGGTACCAAATTATTTGCATACATATCTATGCTACATAACCTTGTAAGGAATAAACGAATAATATTTGACTATTTTATTTACATCACTAAGCAAACTCCATAGTCTTAAATTAGTAAGTAAGTATATCCTTTCACAAAGGAAAAAAAACAAAAATATAATGGTTACAAAATACAGGTAGCATTATAATTAGAAACCATTGTAGTCTGCTGAATAAAATCACACATACAGATATTTTTTATTTATTTTACTCCTACTACTACTACTCGTACCTACTACAGTATAGTTATATAAAGGGCTTGTATAGACATAGCATTTTGTGATGCATTGTCATTTTGATGTATTTAATAATTTAGCTGTAACACACAATGTTATTAAAGTTTTCATTGTAATTTTATTTCATTGTTTATTACAGCAGCTATAATAAATTCTAGAAATAATTTTTTAATCATTTAGATTTGTAATAGAAAGTGAAGTCATGAGTTATCTTATATTGAAATCATTTCTCAATTTGACGACTTTGTATTAATACAGGGGGGGGGGGAAAGATCTGTTGCTGATTTTCTTGCCGGTTCTTCTCAGAACAATGTTATGGAAATTGAAAATTAGTGTATATTTGCACTATAAGTTCCTTCGATTAACAATACTCATTGTTAGGGTAAGAAACATATGGACACTTGTTTATGTGTTTGCAATTAGAAGATCAACTGATGTAGGAACATTCAGCATATGCATGTAGTATTGTTGATTGAAGATAAGTTATCTTTCAAGTGTAGATTGTATTCCCAGACCAGAGTTCCAATATGAATTTACTTTTTGATATTTAATAATGGTATAATTTATTGTTTATGTTATGTTAAGTAGTTAAGCATATTACACAACACACATAGGGCACATAATTCAGAGTTGAATTGTGCATTTTCCGCACTGCATTAACCCTATAAGTAATATCAATAACATTTCCAGACATACAGCCTTATTAGGATTTAAATTTTATAGCAAATTATATCCTTATCATGCTCTATGGAGAATGAAAAGGAGAGACTGACTGTCAAATTTATATTCAAGCTAAGAGAATCATACTAGATACAGGTAATAAATAATTTTATGTTTACAGCACAGAAGAAACATTTATGAGCATTGTTTCAGCGTTCAACAAGACATAACCAATAGGTTTTAAAGATGTATTCAAAAATGCCACCCATTGCTTTATGAGAGGCAGAGATTATAGTGATAACTAAACAAAGTCTATGACCCCTTTAGGAATATAAAGTGAAATTATTAAATTATATGGATGGCAACATGTACATATGATTACCTAAAATTTTTTAAAAAAACATGTAGTCATGTTAAAACTTAAGATTTTTTTCCAAACAATTCAAGGTTTTTATTTTTATTGATATTATTACACAAAAGCAGCACAGGTTAAAATAAATAGGTTTCTTCTCACCTCATTTTTGTCTAATTCTTGAAGATGTCTGTCATTCCGCTGTTTTTCATACAATGCTCGGGCTAATGCACTTCTAGGTCTATACAATCTACTTGAAGCCATCTCTTCTTTGAATCCCAGATCTTTAGCAAAGGAATTCTCAGCTAGTATTTCACTTTTTTCATTCCTTCCACATTCTGGTTGGTAGTCCTTTGTATAATAACAATGTAGGTCAATTAGTGATGATGAATACCTTGCTTCGTTGATGTTGATAGGTAATATCAAGGTCAAAGAAGATAAAACGATAAGAAGGCTGAACATTGACGAAAACATAGAGGAAACATATTAAAATTGAGCATCAATTCGTTTTGTCAACAAGTTTCTTTTCCTCTCAATAAAGCTACTCTTAAGCGACTTTTTGATACATACTATAAATCTTTAAATAACTGTGGCCAACTGGTATTTGGTAATTAATTGCAGTTTTAATTTAATTTAGTAAAAAAGAGTAAAAATTGCAATCCAAATACATTGTTTTGGTTTTGGTCAGAAAACGTCAAATTTAGTTTGTACGACTGCACGCAGAGGGCTCTGTTTCACACATGTGCGTTTACAAAGATAGCTTCATCAAAACTGTAGGTTAGAGATTATAGTGTTGTTTAAGCTTTTAGAATTTATTCAGAGATTATTATTAAAATAAATGATAAAATAATAGTAGGAATTTATAATAATTAATGTTATTGACGGAATTGCTACCATGTACGTTGTTTTGTGCTAGTCTCTGATATTTCGGCAGTGTTGGAAGCGCCATGAATGATAATTAATCACGAAGTAATTCATTAAAAATATACTTTACAAAAATATATTTGATTATTACAATATTTTTTAAAGAAATAATCTTTAAATGGAATTTCACAAAATAACATACTTTATAAATATACAGGCAGAATTCCGAAATCTTGTCTACCGAAATATAACAAAATTTCAAAAATATTTTACAGAGAATATGCATAGTAAGTAGGCTTCAGCATTTTGTGTCTAATAAAAGGAAGTTGATCTTCTATTATTTTTGGTGATCTATTAATTAATTATTTTTGGGTTGAATAAATAGCAAAAAAAAGACGCCATTGTAATAGTGTGCAAATTCGAGCGCAAGTCCTATTTTTGTATTGTGTAGCAAATAATGTCAATTTCTGTATCAGAGTAAGTTTGCATCAAAATGTAATAAGTAAGGGGATATTGTAGGTTGTAGGAATACTCCCAAGTTCGAACTTATACCAAAATTAAAGAAGATTCAAAATAAAATTTTTGCAAATTATAATTTGAATATCACCTAGGTACCTATTCAGAATGACATTTAGTGCAGCAATGGTCTTATTTATCGTAAATTGAAGAGGGTACTGACCGTTCCTTGTTTGGTTTCTAACGACGCTCTAGCGACAATCTCTCGAAGCACTGAGTTGAACATGGCGCTTTCACCACCTACTTAGTCCAAATTGATCGATTAATGATAGATCCACGGAAGTGATGGAAGTTCCCGTTTATCGATAAAAATGTTCGGTATTGATAAACTGAGCAACTTTGCATGTAAATGTTATAACGTTTCAAACTATATTACGTAAATGGTAGGTGATTTAATCGATTTATTAGGTTCAAAATCAGACTCTGAGTTCAGCCTTGGCCGTGACCGGCCGTTCACTGTCCATTTGTCGAGCCGCTGCGCTTGAGTACTTTTTAACGATAACAGTGCACTCTTTTGGGTCAAACCGAGTAAAAGTAAGTAAGTAGGTACTCGTGTGTCTTTCTAACCTCCAAGTTACGTGTTGAGTGAATCATGTTTATTTTGTTAAGGCGAGACAACAATATTCATGATGTTTAGTGTGTTAGGGTACGGCCACAGTGCACGCAGATTCAGAATCAGATTCAGACTCAGAAAATAAGCGCGAGAAATAAACAGTGTAGTGTACTGTAGCTCAAACGAGCAGGTTGCCTGCTGCTACTATGGCCACCCTGCTTAAACTACACTGTTTATTTCTCGCGCTTGTTTTCTGAGTCTGAATCTGATTCTGAACCTGCGTGTACTGTGGCCGTACCCTTAGGTACTTGAAAGAACGCAATAACATCTAAAAAGGAGGTACTATGAAAACTACTGTTTTTTAAACTCTGACACTAAGCCATAATCTGGTGTCGATTCTGGCACAATTCTCTAAACTTAAAGCTTAATTCAATACTATTCTCTCCTTTTCATTTCGCAAATAGAATGGATATACTGTTGGCAAATTTTAATTTTAGGTTTAGAGAACCATGGCAGACATGAGTCGACACTAATGATTCTTTATTTTTGTCACTTGTAAGCTCACTATTTTACGCCTATCTTCAGCACCCCAGCATTAGTAAAATGGATTATTCCAATTCTACTAGCTGAAACAAGTGCTTCAAAACTACATTAAGTACCTTTTTAATGGGTTATAGAAAACAAGCTTATATAAGTTGCTATTAAAAATAATCATATTCCGCGAGTTACTCCTTCGTTTATAACATTGTGTTATAATGTTGGTTTAAAGAGGTTTCATTGCACTGGTTATGTGAAACTATAATGGTGAATAGTTTTATTTTTAATTACATTCTGACATGAGTGTCAAGCGTTTTGTTATTATGTCATTTTAATATCTATCTTTTATTAAATCTATTTTATTACACGATCTTAACACCTTTTATTTTATAAACATAAAAGTTAACATGGTAGCAGAGTTTGTAGTAGGTAGGCTTAGAATATTATTCTAAGTAGGTAGGTGACAAGAATGCTGAACTGGAGTAAGAAATGAATACGCCAGCGGAAAAGAATAATATGATATAGATACACGACAGTGAGTACTAGAAGTAGCGTAAGTAGCAGATATGTATTTGCCTCCTTTTCAAAGACTTGATGTGTTGAGCAATTACTCGAGATGGAGAATGCAGACGAATGTATTTCTTATTACTGAAGAGTTATTGTCGTTGAGAGTTGTTGTCGGATGTAATTAGTCGTAAGAAAGATGACATAGACAGGGCTAAGATTCTTCTGATGGTTAAACCGCACTGCTTAATACACGTTAAAAAAACGAAAACATTAAGAGAGAGCTGGGAAGCTTTGAGCAGTGCCTTTGAGGACAAGGGCAAAACAATCGATGACATCGATGTCTATAAGGATGACAATTGAGAATAGCAATATAGTATTAACAACTGACTACGTGATAACAAAGTTACTACAAATATAGACTCAGAAACATTGTAGTGAGCAAGAGGAACCCTCCACTAGTGCCTTATTGTCAGTAAAAATCAAAAGCATTAAAGTCAAGGCGCATAATTCAAACACTAACAGAGTAAGAACACAAATAAGAAGAAAGACAGCGCTATTGCAATGACTTTCTATTCTGTAGCAGAGGATGGACGCATGAGTGGAGACTTGATACAAGACAGCGGCGCTTCTAGATATATGACGCCTCGAAAAGATTGGCTTATTAACTATTTTAATCTTAATGAACCATTTCAGATTACGTGTGCGAATGGAATCAGAATGTATGGTGAAGGGGAGAATCAGATATAAAGCTGAAACAAATCTGAAAGAATCGACATCAAGTTAACCAAAGGAACTAAAGAGAAAGGCAAAAAAATCATGTAGGCCTGTTCAAAACAGCTCTATATGGTTTAAACAGGCACCTACAGCTTGGAATGAGAAACTTAATAAAGCGCTGCTAAGAGTTAGGTTTTAAGAGGTCAGATAGTTAACCATGTGTTTTTATTAGAAAAAGGAGGCACAGCTTGATGATCATAGCTTATAAATATGTATGTATATATGATCATAGCATAATTATTTATTTTTACGTATACATATAATTGTTTAATAGAACACTAACCTTTATTTTTCTTGACATTTCGGACTCTTGATTCTTGATTTATTGATAGTTGTTTAAATAAAAAAATCTTAAACTGTTCCGTTAAAGAACGGTTAAGAAAAATGGGTTGCACCATTTGTCGATAGTCAAAATGAGATCATAATTTGACAGTGATAATTAACAGCAATTACCAATCCAAGCGTGACCAGTTAAAGTAAAATTTAACTTTAACTAGTTCTGTGGTGCAACTCTCATTTAATTGTACAATGGTGGGAATGTGAATTCCCAAGTGTCTACCTTTCGAATGTACATTTAGTAACACATCAACTAACCACAAAGTGTCATTATTTAATTGTCATTTTGTTTATTTTGAAACATTTACTATTTATGGTCTGAGACCGCTTTCTTCTTAATTTTTGCGTTGATTTTCCTACTTTACTTAGAATTTTATTGTGTTTTGGATAGCTAAAACACGTGTATATTATTATTATAACTTGCTGGTTAATTTTCATTCGACAGTTGGGAAAACACAGTGAAAATATCTTCATTCAAATAGTTAATTAACTGCCACTTTAACCAGGTAGCAGTTTTTTCAAGTTTAATTATTTATTTTTATGGATTGGCATGCTTTTTACATAAAAAATAGTAAAAAGTCTTGTGTTAGAGACGAAAAAACAAATGTGAAATAGGAGCAAAAACAAAATAGCTACTTTTGAGAAATAAAAATCAAAGCAGAATTTTTAGAAAACGGTTAACTTTTCGACAGTAGGTCATAGGGTCAAATCAAAATATAAGCAATGACTTAGAATACCTAGATAATAATGTCGTTGAATATTTAGGTCGGCTTCTCCTGTAACCCGTGTAGATAAAGATTAAAAGATTGCAGTCAGTTGGAGAAATTTTACAGTTTTGGATAACCTGTCCTGTGGCTATTTGTACAAATACAAAGTCAAGGATGTTGATCAATATATCTAGTAAATATGTACATTAAAATTTAAGAAAATGGAGGATTTATTCCGAGCACCTAGGTAAACTAACCTGCCACATCAAGTATCTTAAAAAGAGTTGTTGGATTTTTTGATAGGTTTACCAGGCCACTCAGAAAGTTTTGCGAAAAAAACTTTTTATGTAGACACTGGTTTCGATTCTGGCGTGATTCTCTAAACTTAAAACTAAATTTAACATCAGTCTCTCCTTTTCATTCTGTATAGAGAATGACAGGGATGCACTGTTGTCAAATTTAAGTTTAGCTTTAGAGAATCAAGCCAGAATTGACATCACTGGCCACTTGTAATTATTTTGAAAACTTCGATTATTTAAAAGTAAAAAAACCACTGTGCGATTTTCAAATTTCCCTCCGCATTTTTTCGAGAGCCAATTAAAATTTTCTTGTCTCATTAAAAAATGGATCTGTATCGAGAACATTTTCGTGCTATGATTATTTACGATTTTAAATTTGGCTTAAACCTGATCGATTGCGAACTATTTTTATGTATGAAGGATATTCAAAAGCAACCATCTACCGCTGGTGTAGCGAGTTAAAACGCGGTCGTCTTACTTTGGGGGATGAACAAAGGAGTGGTCGTCCTACGACGGCTGTTACCGAAGAAAGAGTGCTGACAGTAAAAAAAATAATTCAGGAAAACAAACGAAAACAGATTAGTTAAGGAAGTGTTCACAAGATTTTGCACGAGCATCTTTGCGTAAGGAGGATAGTTTCCCGCTGGGTACCGTACAACCTCACCGAAGCTCAGAAGCAGGCCCGTGTGGATTGGTGCATTAATATGATACAAAAATTTGATGCAGGCTTGTCACGGCGCGTTTACGATATTGTGACAGGTGACGAATCTTGGATTTATCAATACGACCCAGAAATAAAGCGTTAGTCGACAGCTACTGTCGACTGTTTCAAAATGAACCAACGCCTACGAAGCGATCGAGGAGCGCAGGGAAAATTTTGATCGCTAGTTTCTTCACTTTGACGGGATACCTAATTTTCTTCTTTCTTAAATTTAATTCCATTTCGTGAACAAGGCAGCATCAACGCCGAATGGTATATAGCACAAAATGTCTTCCAGAAGTTTTTTCTGCAATGAGCAACAAGCGACCTAACACCAGGCTCCGCGGGCAGTCCTTTTTCACCACGACAATACACTAGCGCACTCTGCGATCAAAACGAAAGACTTCCAGCCCCTCTAGCATGACCACCGAAACGGGATATGATAAAGCGATATATCGGCATTAACTGTCAGACTACTATAGAGTTTGACAGAAGTCTGACAGTTAATGTCGATATATCGCTTTATCATATCCCGTTTCGGTGGTCATGCTAGAGGGGCTGGACTCCACACCAGCCAGAATCTTGGAACATCCTCCTTACAGTCCTTATTTTGCTCCGTGTGACTTCTTTTTATTCCCTCAAATAAAAAAATCAACTCAAAGGGATACAGTTATCATCGCCGGAAGAAGCGCTAGCAGCGTTTGAGAAGGCCGTGGAAGAGGTGTCTGCGGAGGACTGGAAAAAATGATTTGAAAAAGGGTTCAGACGCATGTAACTTTGTATAGAGGATGGTGGAGAGTTCTTTATAAGTTCTTAAAAATATTTTTTTCATAGAAGTTAGTTTTTTAGTTTCTCAAAACTTTCTGAGTGTCCCACGTACTTAAGGAAATATATTGTTGTTACTGAAAGAAACCCACGTTTTAAAAACTGAGCTGGATCATAATTATTATGTAGGACTTCATGAATACTTTCATGATTACAAATATATGGTTGCCCGCCAGTACTTTATAGGGTTGCTCAAAACCCATTCCGGCAATCAAAGGCAAAGGCGTCTAGAAAAAAATCAAATGCGTTCCAATTATCAAAGTTAAACATGTTGGATTTTCGTCAGTAACGCTGATGATTGAAAATGCTTCTGAATCACTTTCGAGTAGGTATAATTGGCTGCGTTGTTTCATCCATATTTAAATTTTACTATAGTTAATGTCACGTCAAATACATAGTACCTAAATGTATAAAATTTTGACAAATAGTATTTTTTTCTCTAGTAACTATAGTCAAATTTAAACAAACGGCGGAAACAACACGGCTAAGGCATATTATTCAGGGACAAAATAAAAATACCGGCTCATAAAAAATTGTGACAGTGCCCATCGACACGATATTAAGAGTCGTGAAATTGGAAGTACGTATATACCTATTAATAACAGCTGAACTCTCTTCCTAGCTTAAAATGCGACTGATGGTACTGTACGGTATCACAAGCGGCATAAACTAGCATGCCACTATTTATAAAATAATAAGAAACCGAGTAAGTATCAGGAATATAAATTGTTTAACAACTTCAGGTATATTAGGAATTTGACGTTATCTATACCTTTTGAATACACAATTAGGAAGATACTTATTCTTTCGTTAAAACTTTAATAAAAATGAAAAATTACTTACTTTCTTCTGAACTTCAGGTATGTACAATTTCTGTGGCCATGTGGCGGGGTCGTAGCGGGCCATAACTATTAATTCTTCTTCTTATTTGAATTATGAACTCACGTGAATTCACCAGAATGATTGCCTTGAAGTGAGCGATATACAATTCAGCAGTTTATCAGATTCGTCTGATAAGGCGTCTAATACATACGCGATGATAATACTTTTTGGTAATTAACATACCTAAAAAAAATCTATAAATACGAATGGTCGTTAAAACTTTATATTATTTTGACTTAATATTAACTTATCGGTATCTGTGTACCTACCAGGCAACCAGTTTTGTATTATGAAATTTTTGCACTAAGAAAAGTGCATTTTTTTCGTGATTATAGTAAGAGTCATGTAAACTCGTAAAGTCTCGAGTCGGTGACACCATGAAACCCGGCGAACAAACCACAGAATTTATATAGAAATACATATTAAACATCCATTACTGGAGTACAAATGCTGGTATTCATCACACAAACATCTGCCCCCACCGGGATTCGAACCCGGGACCTCTCGACTAGACGACCTCCGTTTAGACTAAGCCTTAGACGATCTCCGTGTAGAGTGGTTTTGTTCGCCGGGTTTCATGGTGTCGCCGACTCGAGAGGTCCCGGGTTCGAATCCCGGTGGGGGCAGATGTTTGTGTGATGAATACGAACATTTGTACTCCAGTCATGGATGTTTAATATTAAGTGGTTTGTTCGCCGGGTTTCATGGTGATACTATTATCAAAACCGACATTCGAGTTCATTAGGTACACTACTCCTCATTATACAACAGTTGCAAAATTGTCATCAGATCGTGCGTTTTTTTTTATAATTTCTCAAATCATAGGAGAATTAAAAAAGAACATTAAACTAAGTTTACATTGTAAATAGATATTGATAAAGCGAGATAAAAATCTTTGTATATATCCTTAAAAAAAAACTCCGTAAACTTACCTCGAATTAATACTTAAATTATGATCATTAGGTTTTTCTGTTATCAAAAATCATTGAATACTAGGATGGCGTGCCATTTTTAATTTTGTGCTCTTAAAATCCAGATGTGAGATTGCATTGTTAATAATAATAATAATAAATATTTCCACCATTTAGCCTAGCCCCAACAAAGTAAGCACCGTAATGCTTGTGTTAAGGGATACTTATAAAGGTAACGCATAGACTACAAATACAAATATGTACATAAGTATATTTGACTAGAAATACGTATAGACATCCCTGACTTAGTTCGCATTTATCACACAAACATTTTCCCCACCGGGATTCGAACCTGGGATGGAGTAGGCTAATGAAATATGAAATGAAACAAAAGAGTTTAATTTTCGTGGAGGTTCAATATGGATTTTCGATCACGCGCCGATCGCCCCAAGCGTTGCGCTCGCGTCGTAGCAAGCACGGAGTTGGATGCCGCGCGCGGGACATTTAAAATAATTACAAGCCATCGGAGAAACGTAACAGCCAGTGTTTTGAGACCATTACTTATTTTTTAATTCCAAAAAATGGGTTTTAAAAGCGCACACTTAGTGCCTATTGGCGCAATGCGGGCTATAAACACGACTATCACTTTTTAGGATTTGTGCAATTTTGTTGCTTGAATTTATGTTACGTGAAATCATGGTAATTTTTGATAAATTTCGGGGTAGAAACTACAGAGTACTAAAGTGGGATTAAATGATTCATAAAACCTCGTGTTAAGAGAACGGGTAATACAGTTTAATTAACATGTTAGGGGGCAAAAATGTATTTAAAAAAAAAACAAGACCGTGGGATTTTCAATGTGATTTAAAGAAGAGTATAATCGTTATGCTTTTACGTAATCAAACCATTAAAAAATAATCATATGATTAATAAAACCTCATGTTAAGAGAACGGGTAATACGTCTAAGTTTTATACAACTCAGTTAAACATTATAATCTTTCTAATCATTACATTAGTTCAAGTGTATTATTCTGATAGCAACGGAAAAAGAAAAGTATAAATACCTTACTAATTTGGACTGAGCAAACATGGATAAACACACTTTTTTTTTCTAGTGGTGAGCGGCCCAAGTATAGACTTGCAATACGAAAAATATTATTATGCCGTTGCCTACCCTGACCACCCCTATCGTTGCCTACCCCCCCGTGGAGAAATAGGGAAGCAAGGCGAAGTTTCGTGGCAAAAATATGGTTTATTTAACAAAAAATTTAATAATTAAAGTTAGCTGCACCAACAATATGTTGAAAACCCTCATTTTGAAAATGTTAAATTATATTTTTATTTTTAAGCATTTAACTGCTTTATGTTTAAATCTTAAGAAAAGTTTTAATAGAAAAAAATCCACGCGGACCAGGCAGTAGACGGGACTAGACCCGCACAGTTAAATTATGTTTTGGAAAAAAAAATATTAAGGTTTGATTTTATTTATTTTTTAAGCATTTAACTGCTAGATGTTTAAATCTAAAGAAAAGTTTACTAGAAAAAAATCCACGCGGAGCAGGCAGCGGACAGCCGTCCGCTGCCTGCTCCGCGTCTGCCTGCGCTGAAATTAAGGTTCATTTAAAAAAATATTGGTTAAGTAAGTAAAGATACTTGACATTATGTGGCCTATCGCAGCTTTAAAGTCAAACTAAAGGGAATTCGTTATTGAAGCTCCTGTTTTTACTTAGATATCAAGTCAGTTACATTTTAGGAAAGCTATTCTTTCCGATAAAGAAAATTTATTCACTTGTATTAAACATAAAAAGTCGCTCTCAAAATATGTCGAATTTACCACAACATTTGTTGTTCCTCGCTTACACTGACCAAATGAGCCGCTATTTTATTAAACTACAAAAGATAAAAGCTAAGAATGAATAATTTTATTGGGAACGACAAATAATAAACAAGAGTAGGTATAATAAGTAAGTACATAATTATAGAACAAATGCTTTTGCTCTGTAATCTGGACGCTTACTACGATCGACAAAAATTCCGATTCTGTTCTCAATAAGAACTAATTAAGTTCTGCTTTAATTTCGTACTATGACCTCCAAAACCAAAACCTAATCTCAGTCAGTCGGATAGGGACTGAATGATAGTCATAGATTATGAACTAGTTGAAAAAAGTCTGCTATTGAATCATAGATATACAATTATATCGAATAGATATATATTAAATAGATATTTTAAAATTTATTCTGACCATGGATACAAGTCCTGTAGTAGCACAAATTTATTACAAAACTCCACAAAAATACATGAAGCCATGAACCAAACATAAAAAAATCAAATAATTGTTTATAACTATATGACTTATTTGTTATCATATTAAACAATTTTATACCTTTAAATCTTTTCCAGCAGTATTTTCTATATTATTTAGGTAAATAAAGATAACCCGAACGTGATGGGGGCATATTATTTTTTGAGCATACAAGTTTGTCTCGTTTATGCATAGGCATGTCAAGGTGCTTCGCTTATGTCAGTTGAGCTCACGCAAACTATCATAGTTTTCGTAATTGTGAATTATGTTTCTATTTCCATTTTGGTGAAAAGTAACCAAATGCACTTAAAACTTAAGAAGGCGCAAAATGATTTAATGATAGAATCTACACACTGTTATTTGTATTGAAACGAAAACAATAAAATCAGTACCGTTAGTACGAGTGCGAGCTCACGAAAACTATCATAGTTTTCGTAATTGTAAAACTCGTACTAAGGGTACTGCTGTTTCCTGAAAAACTTTGAGCGAGTGAGGGTTCCATCCACTTGAGACACGCGTCTCTAAACTTTTTGTGCAAAAATGCAGCAAAAAAAAATATTCATCATAACTGTTGAGTGGACGGTTGTTTGAATTCAACATTAAACGGTAAATTCTCTATTTTGAAGTGCAACTTCTATATAGATCTAATCTAACTTATATAGACAGGGGTATTAGCATTTTGCTGCCACGGAAAAGCGTTGCAGCCGCGTGACGGGGGTAGACGATATATCGCGCGGTGAGAGGCGGCAGGCAGGCAAATTATGTCTCGGCATTTATTAAAAAAAAAAAATGTGTGTTGGGACTCATAGCAGAAGTGAAACTTTAACGGACAAGTTACACTTCTGCTATGAGTCCCAACACACTTTTCGTTTTTTTTTAATTTGGGTTTAATATAACGATAACATTATAATTGAAGTATATAGTTTAGTTTTATTATTGTTTCCATTCTTCCTGTTTATTTAACAACAATGAATCAAACTACTAGATACGTACGAGTGCCGCTACTACGTTTTTATTGTGCACAAGCCAAAGTTGACAATCCTAATGCAACTGCCAAGCGTAGGTATGAAAAGTGAAATACGTACATGGAATTACCTTCAGTACTATATATTTTTTGTTTCCGATTCAGTTTAGGTTCAGGAGTTTGTAACGTCGTAGTCGCAATTGATTGAATGATCAAGCCGATTGCTATAATCTGACTAATATGAGTTGGTACGTATTTGAAGAATGTATTAATTACGTCAGTTGCTAAGGCCTTATAATATGGGTTAGTTTTCAATAACATTTTAATTTAACAAGGAATCTGAAGCCACATATTGGATATCACCTTTTAGTTAAAACATTGTACCCAGACCTCAACTGAATCGAATTCGAAATCGAAATCAGTTCTTATTAAGAACTTAATGAGTTCTGAATAAGAGATCATAGTAAGTCTCCTGAGATACTTAGTATCTGCTTTTATCTACCTTTACTCCTCCACTAATTATCAATACTTGAGGTAAGTTCAAAGTTGTTCTCTTCTTGTAATTTATATAAAGTAAATAATGAAAATATAACCTTCCATTTTAGAACACTCAATCCTTTTCGTAATGTCATTTATAGTAACCGTAATCTTTGTGTTACTTCAGTTTTTTTGCGGTTTATCAAACAATCACATTTGGCGCAAGGTGTGTAAAAGCCAAATCGATGAGTCGGCTAATTTAAATCTGAGCTTGTAGTTTTTGCACCTTCAACCGCATTCTCACAGAGCGGCCCAGACTTGATGCACTTCAGTTCTGATTGGATCATTACCGAGTTCATCATACCC